GCTTCTCTCCAATGTGGTGCATAGGAAAACGACCACAACTTTCACTTAACGGGGTCTCATCTCTGCACTGGTTGTCCTGTTTTCTAAGTTGCTATTTAGAAAGAGGTGAGAACAGCTAATAAGCAATTGTGAAGGCACCCCAAAACTACTTGACATATTCTGAAAAGAAAGGAAAAACTGTTCTCCTGGGCTCTGGATGTCCCCCCAAGCCTGCACTATCTCTCTTCCGGCAGAGAATCACAGCAACTATAACAAAGCTTTGCTTCAGGTGCAATACAGCTCTGTTAGAGAGCCGCGCAGTACACGTGGCTAGGCAGTACCCCAGCTGTACAGTTAAATACCATAAGCGAAACCGTCAATGCCTGCTTGCTTGCACAGAAACACAGCAGGTTTAAGAGGGAGGTTGAGACAGGAGAGCACTCAGATGCAGACGTAGGCCCAGCCAAACATAACCTAACCGACTTTGTACGAAAAGGAGGTACAAGCTGCAGAGGCGACCTCGTACAAGCCTACATGAATGCGGAGAAAAAATATGTAGGGGTAGCCGAGTTGATGTCAGATCAGGTGAGGGAGCCTGGTCTCCTCTTCACCTTCACATTAAGTAAAAAATAGTAACACTGCTTCATATATATTCAGCATACATCTACCCTCCAAGCGTGCGGGTGCAATGGTGAGGAATCTATGGAACCGGCAATTCAGCAACTCGCAGACGGTTAAAACAAATGGGCCTGATGGAGGATTACGCCCGCCAACTCGAGAGTTGGTAAGCTCAGAGCATACAGCAGAAGCAGAGTTGCTTCTGGACACAAACAGAGGAGGGATGGAGCACTAGTGCAAGCCTGAAGTACGCATACATTTTTAGATATTTGTGGTGTACGAGCTCTGGGGTTCACAAGACCCAGGGTGGGGGCTTTGGTTTCGTGCTTTCTGTTGTGGTTTACTTATATATTTTGAATGGGGTGTTCGGCTCGATCGGTAACCTCGGCTCCGGCCTGCGCCGGGAGGAAGCAAACGGTATACTCTCTGTGTCACCTGAGGTAACCGGCTGTTCCTGCAGAATCTAATTATTGGAATATAAAATGTTTTGTCTAGAAGAAAGCGTATAGCTCTCCGAAATTTTCGCTGAGTTGGAAAGCTGCTCGGTTTGCCTCGAGGCACCCGCGGGTCTGCGCGGCTTGCTGCATTCATGGAAGCCTCCACCTCCTCCTGATGCTCTTGTGTTGCGAAAAAAACCTAGAAACTTCTTTTTATTCAAGAATCTGAAGAACTTTGAGTTATATTGAGGGAATAATCGAGACATATGTGGCCACTAGACCAGTGGGCAGCACCGTGCAGGTTCTGTCGGCTGCGGGCTACCGGGCAGCGATTGCACCTTCCGTCGTCTCGAAGGAGGATATTGCGGAGTGTATTCACGAGATTTATTATTTTGTTTTCGGTTTATATTTGAAAAGTATTCAATTTCGGTTCTATCGATGTCGATATTGTTCAGTGGCGCGTGGGGGGCTTCCTTATAACCGAGACGGCGGCGGACGACCGACACAAGTCTCTGCTGAGTTTTCACGAAAAGCTGAACTTTTTTCTTAAATTATTATTTGTGATTTCTGAGGCCCCATCACCTACAACTTGTGTAGGTTTTCTGTGTTGATACTCTCGCGGAGATTCGTACAAAATGGTGAAGTGCAACTGCAACATCAAGGGCATCGGCCCCTTTAACCTGGCCGCCTGCGTTGTGATATTTTCTCTATACAATATGCTGAGCTCAACTGTTGAGCTTTGCGCCGTGATGAGAAGAAATGCCACACAAGGGGGCTCGGATTCTGTTGCAGCTTTCAACTTCTTCTCTTCGTCCTTCACTATCATTGCCGGCGCGTTGGGTGTTCTCTCAACTATCACCAAGTCTCATAGATTCGTGCTGGTAGTTTTGATCGTTGCTATCATTACGATGGTATGCGATGCAGGGGAGCTGATAGCCAATGCAGCATCGGGGGCCCCTAGCGTGTTTCAGTTTATTATGACGACGTTACACTTTCTTCTGAATTCTGTTGCCATGGTTGTATTTCTCTCGTATTATAGAGTATTAAAAAGTGGAGGAACAGGCAGAGAAAGAATGTCGCCTGATGATTTCAAAAACTTAGATGAAGCCTCCACAGACAGCGGAAACAACCCGCTAGCAACCCCGAAGATGGCCACAGAGGATACTCCTTTGATGGCCTGAAGTATATACATATATACATATATATATATATATATATATATATATATATATATATATA